GTGTCATCACTCTCCTTAACTGTATTTTGCCCTATTTTATAATCAGCTCTGGATTCCACTTTTTCATTTCTCATTCCATGAGGAAGAAGTGACACTGAGCAGTCTGCTGTTAGATTCATATCTTGATTCAGTGATTGTGTTCGGCTTGGAATAGTTGGTGACTGCGGCTGAGTGTATGACAAGTCCACAGGAAATTGTGAATCTGATTTGGGTAAATGAGCCAACTGGCTCTTGGCAGCTGTTAGAAGATTAACAGTGTCGTTACTGGGTGATTTCCCAGTTACACCATCCAGAATATCAACACTTAATTCTTTGCTATCATCACCATTATTGTAGCCAAACAGAGGTGAATTGGCTGCCCCTAAAGGAGTGCTTGCAGCGGAAGGTGCTCCTATGGAACAGTGTAATCCATAATCATATACTTCATCAACATAAGGGTCTTCAGTATCTGGCACAATAACCTCACGGTGAATTCTACCTTTATCAGCAACAGGCTCGTTATCATCTTCTTGCAGAGGGGAACATGGGACATCTTCAGTCTCGGGCACCAAAATCTTTTGGTGCACAGACAGTTCATCCGATCCCAGTACCTCCACATCAGGGCCTTGCTCAGGACACTCATTGTGGTATAGTTTTGTACTTTCATTAGGATCAGAAAACACATTCTCTTCGTCATTATTTTTCTTCTTATTTGCTTCATAGTAGACCTGTCCATGATCTTTATAACTGTAACATTTATTTTCCTCTCTACTTGATGTTGTACTGGAAACTTTGTCATACCGAACTTTCTTTTTACACTTGATTGTGGTAAGGTTTCTATGCTTCTTGCTACTTTCGTTATCTTTCACAGAAAAATAATCTTCAGGGATATCTTTCCTGAAAAGAGCATGCAGATTATTCTTAATGGTCAAACAGTTTTGTGTTTTACATCCCTCACTGAACAAAGGGAAGCCATTTTAACGTGTTTACCATTTCTACCGTATTTCCTTGAATGAGTGGCTGGGTGCTTAAATTCAAAATTTCAGCTAAAAGGAGAGACACTTTTTAGAAGAACAGCACTTAATTGATACACTAATGTATTAATATGAGTGTTTACATAAATTAATCTTATCATCCTGGGGATAATCCTCACCAATGATATGCTGATTATCGCATTGCTCTTGTATCTCTACTATTTAAAAAAAGTGAGGGGGGAGGGGGCACTTTTTTGGTATTATGGCCAAGGGAATAGACACCTATTTGAAGGAAGGGTTCTTGTTAGAGCAAGGGCGCTTATATGGTATTTACAGATATACAGTATTTATTATAAGGGCAACAAAAGTGCCGGAGGGAACAAACCTGCAGCTAGCCACTTTGCAGATCAGTGATTTTTAATATTATTTATTATTTATACTAACTATAAAAATTAAAACTAACTAGTAAAGATTTCTTGAGAAGTTGGGAGTTTAACACTAGCACTAGCTATGGGGAGATGGGGTTAATTTCCTAGAACTGAAGTTAAGTTAGATATAAATTAACAAATTATTTTTCTTACATCTGCTCATCAATATCCCTATGAACAAACTCTTCAAGAATGTGAGGTGGGAAGCTCCCATGATTTTTCATTGCTGTCAAAAAATAGACAAGTACAAACATTCATTTGTTTTTTTAAATTTTTCTTTATGTTACATAAACAGATGACTGTAACAAGTCCAGGTAAAGTTTGATAGTAAAAGAGGAGACTTTTTTCAGAATAATTAAGTTTAAAGAAAAATCAATGCCCAGTTTGAAATTGGCAGCAAGGTGTTGTGCATACCTTTGAATCTACGCTCACTTGCTAGACGAAAGCGGCTCCACCAGCAGTCCATTTTGGATAAGTCTTCAGTCTTCCTGTAGGGTTAATAACAACACTTAAACACACAGAGTTGAGAAAAGCAATAATAATAATAATGATAATGATGATGATGATAATGATAATGATAACAATAATAATAATAATAATAATAATAATAACAATACTAATGATCAATATATAATAATAATGCTTTTAATTGGGGTCCGAATATTCAAAGTTTCTTGCCTGGGAATGTGACACAGTCATTAATGTACCAAATAATTAAAGATACTTAAAGTGGCTTCCGAGAAATTGTCATATTACCCTGGAAATGGAGTAAAATAAATTAAAAAAAAGATAAACAAGGATAAATGATTAGAAGAAGGTATTGCCTTTGCCTTGTCAGTAGCTAGACCTTTGTGTGGTTTGGATGATCATGTAAACATCACAGTCTATTCATCAGTAGAAAATGTAAAAATGATGACCTCAAGAGGAAATTCCAATAATCACATTTAGCCTCTGAAAGATAGTTCTAGTGCCTATCAATAACTCACATGCAAAAATTAATTTAACTTTATTGCATTTCCAACTGGATGCACACCTGACTTTGAAAGGAAGCTTTCAGCAACTTCAAATTGAACGAATTCATTTAATACTTACTGATTGATACATTTACAATTCTTATAAAATTAATGATGAAAGCCATGTTTTGGTCACAGGGGTTTAAGTTATTTTCTAACGGTTTTGTTATATATGTTACAGGTTAAATTTGATTTCCAAAAAAAAAAAAATTAATCAAGGTTGATTCTTAACTTCCTTTGTCCTCTAGGGCTATGAGATAGAGGGAAACATGAATCAACCTAGGTTAAATCATAATTAACCTAAAATCAAATTTGTGCTGTAACATATACATCCAACAGTGACGAAAAGTTCCTTTGTAAGAACTTGGTGCTCTAGCTTACCTTTTTAGTTTTTCATCCTTATATGCAAGTTCTTTCTGCAAGTTTGCAAGGTGCCTTTTAAGACTAAAAACACAAATTAAATCCCCCACATGTGGCAACTAAACATTGCGTACATGAGGCTGGACATGGAAGGTGGGATGGGTAAGTTTAGTGTGGATCATTATGGGAAGAGGAGAGCAATTAAAAGCTAATGACTGGATCTCGTACAAGCGTGATGCAAATGCACATGCAAATACAAAACAAGCACTAGCAGAACCAGTAATAATGCAAGAAATGGAAAACGTTTTACTTTCTTACCCTTGCAGTTCCCCTTGCATTTGCATTCTGAATGTGTGAACCAGGTAACGCAAAGCAAGTGCAAATACAAGGTAAAAAACATATACTCAGGTTCCATCAGTTCCATACATAATTGTACCAGCATGTCTCAGGGGGAAAGACTTGGATTACACATGCAAATCTTAGTACTTTCCTTCTGTTTACCTTAAGTGTGTGAATATTGTTTGCATCTGCATTTGCCCTGATTTGCTGAATGCATTAGTGCTAGGGTTGCACATGAAAACCAGGGGTCTAGGAGATCAGAAGGGCATGGGAGGGGGATTGGGGAGCAGGCTAAAGCCTAGGCTCAGTCTCCAGCCTTGGGTGTCTCCATGCTATGCCTGCAAGTACTGTGGGGGCATCAAGACACCCAAGGCTGGAGACTGAGCCTAGCTAAGGCCAGGCCTAAGAGTTTTGGTAAGGTCCAGCAGCATCAAGGCAGTTAGCTAGTATCTTGTTATGAGTGAAAGTAACCTTAAAATCTGTTTTGTCAAAAATAATATTAGCTTATAGCAATGGAAATGTCAGTAAGTGCACAGGGAAACCAATAAAGAAACATAACAGAAAAGCTTATGCTAGAGGTTTGGAAGACCTCAGGGGCGGATCTAGGGGGAGGGTGCAGGGGGTGCGCACCCCCCCTTCCCCGAGATGACCTGCGGTTTTCTAATACAACTGGTGTTCTGCAAAAAAAAAACTATGTGGTTTATTGGTGTTGAAGTAGAGCAAGAGACGAGTGCACCCCCTCCTAAAAACAATCCTGGATCCGCCCCAAGACCTTATAAGATTATTACAAGCTTAATAATACCTCGCATTTTCACTTTGAAGCTGACTCGACAATTCCTTTGCCGCACTGTTTGCTTTCTCCAGACACTGGACCTTGTTTTCTGCATCACTACACCTCTCCTCAAGATCTGATACGTGCAAGGAACAAAATGCATGTTGTTCGATTTTTAAATCAACTTAAAAGTTGAACTTACCAACAGAGTTGAAGGAGTCCTAATGTAAACTGTATCAAGTTTACACTTAAGTTCACACGACAATCAAATTTAAAAAAAATTAAGCTTAAACTAAAACTTAATTAAGATATTAAGCTACACACGAGTATTGTTTTAAACATGCTTACCTCGAAAATCCCGTCCTATACTCTCTTTTAGCTCTTCTAATCGACGATACGTCTCCATTAATAGTAACTAAAGTTGAAAGCTGCTTTCTTTCCATCTGAAATCCAAGTGAAGCAATCTTTACTTGCCATATACGTCAAACGAAAGCGAAAGATAAACTTCCCGCCATCTTGAAACACGGTCAGAGGGACTGGGGAGGGAAACGCCTTGAATTTCTTCGCATATTAAAATTTGTTTACACTGACTTTGCTCAAAGCAATTGATTCACAAAGGGTTGCGGTTTTACCTTCTTTTAACAGAATTGTGCCGTACTTTGGGTATCCTTTAACGCGCAAAAGAGAAAAAGAGGATGACTGAAGAGGAAACTATATGTGATCGCACTTATCGCGCTTATGAAAGACAGAAAACCAAGCCGGATAAATCAGAGAGTTGCTCGTTGCCAAGGCATTCTAAACGGGACCACAAGGTACATGAATATTGACTTTATATCATATATTTTGAGCAATAAATCGATGTTTCATTGAATTCAGATTAGTTGTGATGGGGCTTTTAATTTTATACTCTACCTGTCAAATTTCTTACGTGGGAATAATACTCAGAGAGAGCCTGTGATGACAGAAAAATTGACTATACTCAATTTTTATCGGAACATTTTAATCCATTCAACTTATTGTAAACTCACAATCTATAATGCACCTTAGTTTACTGGATAGGTAAGTCTTCCCCCAAAGATTATCGTACATTTGTGCACGTAATTCAGCCAACAACACTTTTGCACCTGTTCTTACTTCATGAACTAATTTTTATATAAATATAGTCCGGGGCTGTCAGCCCCCCACGTCATCAAATATTAAGAATTGATAGGGAAGGAATGACAGATGACGTCATATCGCACGACAAATGATGTCATTTGTGCCAAAAATGCTCTTTGATTTTGATTGACGTATATCGCACATATAAACAGTTCAATTTATTTTGAGGAAACGTTCCATGTTAACAGTAGCTCAAACAATGCAAAATATTTGAAATTTTATGGTCGGAGAGTCGAGTCTACAAGAAATAGCAACTTTGGCGATTATCTGGGAGATATCAGACTCTAATCTGGAGACCGGGAGATACAGTCTAAAATCTGGAGTCTCCCATTTTCCACACCTGTTTCCAGATGACTTGGGGGAGGTCACAAAATATAAGATACATGTTTTCATAGGCAGAAATCATGCCATCTTTACTAGATTAGGTCGCCAACAAAAAGATTTGAATTCGCATTTATTTCTGTTTCTTATTCATTTAGAATTGAAATAACAAATACGTTCATACATTCCCATTATAGTTCCCTACCAGATTCTAGACCAAAAAGGGCAAAGTCTCTCGCTGTTTTCAGACCGAAACAGCCCAAAAACCCTACCCTGTGAGGTGGCTCATACCTAGTATATGGCTTATATAACGGAATGTCCCTGGGATTACTGTAGGCTTCTCTTTAATAATTTGCAATATTTCGTTATTTTTCAGCCTTCTGATGCCCATTTTTTGTACAGTCAGTTAGGAAGAGTTGTAATTAAACGGCACACTTACTTAACTCCTGTAACACATGCTACCTACCCTTGGAATCATGCTCACCCTTCAGGGAGAAAATCAGCCTTTAAGATGCCAAAAACTGTTTATCCAAAGAGATGACAAGACAGTAATGGATTCATATGCTGCCTCTTCCACGAAACTAATTCAAAGCTAAACATCAGATGCTCAGACCATCACTGGCTGGTCCTTCAAATCAGTGGCAGATCCAGACCTTCAGATAAGGGGGTGGGGAGGGGGGAGGGGGGGGCCTGGTCTCCAAAAAAAATTTTTCGGCCCCTCGGGCCTCATTTTGGACCAAGAATAAGGGGCCCCCAGGCCCCTCCCCTGGATCTGCCACTGCAAATGGTCCAATGTTTATCCAAATTGCTATGATAAGCTATGTCAAAGTGTTCCTAAACATCTACCCAACTTCCTGTCAGAGAACCAGTATTTTTATGCCAACAAAGTAAAGATAAAAGGAACTACAAAACCATTGGATCATGAGCCTTATACACAGATGTTCTTTTGGCTCGTCATGCAATGGAATGTGTGACAAACCCCTTAGAATGTCTACGTGGCAGGCTATTGGATCATTCGACTTGAGGACATTCTTGGTTGTTGAACAAGTTACTCTCACAGTAATTACATGGCTAATGCGAACTCTGTGCACAAAGAAAAGTTGATAAAAACCTTGTATGGTATCAGATAATATCTAGTCATAAACTAAACAACTGTTTGAAATAAATTTACAAAATTGCTTACTTGTACAAATTAATGATAACTGCAAACAGAGCATATGAGTTGTCATGGCAACTAACTCTAGATTTGGGCGAATCGTCTGTCATTGCAAATCGGCCCAGATATATTTTTGGTTCAAGACAGAACTCGGTATTTGCCGCAAATTTTCCGGCATGTATTAGGAGCTCTTTCATTTTGAAAGAAGAGGGAGGTTGAGAAGATCAGAAAGTGCATTCAATAGGGAGGGACACGACAAAAGGGACTCTTGCTCTAATTCTGATGCAATTACTTGTACCGCTTCCCCCCTGGAAGTAAAAGTTAAATTAGGTTAGCTCCCATTGAATTCGACTTATTATGACGTTTAGAAACTTAATTAAAAGCGATTAAAGGAAACCTATTTTAATCACCTCTGCCATAGCTCGTTTCGAAGCACTTTTTCTATTCTGGTCACAAGCCCCCTCAGATATAAGTTCCTCCGATTAAAATCCCTCCTAAAACCCCTTGATGCCGATTTAGAAGGTACCGTTTTTGCTTACGACTGTCGTGCGCGACTCCCGGGGCGCGGCCAGCGTACGTCATGACTTCACGTCAAATCGTGGTGTGTAAATTAGACCCACGACATCCGCACGACACGTGTGGATGTCCTAGGTAAAAACATACCATTTTCGATATTTTAAAATTCATACTTGGCTCCGAGGCTTGGGGGAATAAAACAAAAGAAATGTATTATTCATTGATGAGCCTCAAGATGATTTCTTTTCTTTTATTCCCCCCCCACCCCTCCCTAGGCTAGTCGCACACTTTACGAAGATTTATAAGCCCACGAATTATAAGCGGCAGCACCCAGTATAAAACGTTTACGTTCTTCAACAGATGGTGGTCTAAAAATTCTTGCTCTGATGGCATTGCATAACTAAAAACATTTTGGTTTTCTACTCAATCAAACAAAACTAAACTTTTGAAAAAGTGTTATTTATTTCCTTTCAGACAGTTAATATCTATTTGGAATTTTCGTATAAACAAGTGCGCAAATCTAAAAACAAAAGAAGTATTTCCATGATAAATTTACCGAAGCTCGCTTTTTTGTTCTTTAGCAATTGATTGACGTTTAACAAAATGACATTTATTTCTTTTTCATCACTGTTTCCAACTTGTCAAGCAAAGACGGTGGTACAATAATCTGGCTGAAAAACGTGCTGGATTCATCATCTGTAGGGTCCTGTCTGTCTTCTAAAGGGGTCTCCATTATTAACTGCGGAAATAATACAAAAGGAAAAGGAAAGCCAAAGAAGTTTTTTCATTACGTTTAAGATCGTCAAACTTTACATATAACGGAGTATTTGCTGAGTGAGTTGGTGCAGGACGATCTTGGAAAGATTGCGCCCGGTAAATATGGTTAAATTTTCTTTGCAGGATTGAGAGGGACTGGTAGATTAATTTGCTTGTGATTGTTTTTTTTTTGTTTACGAAAAAGCACACCATACCTTTTTCCATGATTGTAGATCAGAAGTGTGACTAGTGAAACAAAAGGTACTTGACGGGCACTTTTCTCTAGCGCGCTGCATGATCATTCTACGGCCTTTGGGGCGTAAATCCTTGAACAATATAAGATACCCACCTGTCTTGCATCAGCTCTGGTCACATCACCTCTCATCAACAGCAGTGCTAGAGCATGGTCACTAAATTTCAGACCTATGAACAATCGTTAGGGGATTTCTTTCTGGCGTTAAACAATGTCAATCAATATATTTCCGTAACGTAATGGAGGAAGGAGCGCGCGGGTAGTGCAGCCACAAGAACGCGCGCGCGGCGCTTCAATTTCCCTGACTGCCTTCCAGGCGGGTTTGGGAAAGAGCTTTCTCGCAGGCAAGCTTGAGATTATCTTTAGAATCGTACAAAGACCCGTTAACGTTCGTTACTCACAGAGATTTCCAAGGCCATCATAGACGTATCTCTCAGCTTGATAACCTCTGCAAGGGTTGGAAGTACAGAACACAGTTTTTCAGGTTCCAAATTAGCTTTCGCTAGTTTCTTGAAGAGTTTTTCTATTTTCTTTGACTCCTCTGTGATCTTCTTTGCCGCATCTCTTCGACCCTCGTAATCCTTGAACGCAATCCGTCTAATAAGAAAATAAATTACAGTCAAACCATTTTAATATGGACAACAAACGGAAAAGGCCAAGGGTCCAACTAACAGATTTAGGTAACCGTATGACACAGGAAGCGACAGTATGAAGTCTGATTTCTTTGAGACCTTCACCAAGTAAATTATCCATATTTACAGAGAACTGTCCTTAATATGAAGCTGTACGTAATGAAGAACGATTCCATTTTCGCAGGCTTTGAACGAGACAGCGTTTGGTTTAGCCTGCAAACGCAAACGTAATTCCGGTTTTCCCTTCCTCTTCCCCTTGAAGTAATTTACTGAGATCGTGAAAAGATATGAGGTTAACAGTAAGCTTTCAACTTAAAAGAGTCTCACATGGAGTAGTACGTATGTTCTGTGAAGCCAACAAGAAAATCACGAGTTCCGAAAGTTGAGTGAGAAATTGATGATAATTTCCATCATAGCTTACTGATAAAAAATAAATGCTGCTTTTAATCGCGGTACCTGAATCTCTATTGCATAGATAAATGTTGGATGGGCTGGTGACAAAGTATGTGACGTTAAAAATACTTTGGGTCCCGACAATAATCGAGCTCATGACCACTGGGAAAACTGTGGGCCGATACTGTCACTTAGCTAAGGGGTCTACAAAGTCTTCAATTAAACTACAATTTTAAATCTTTGCTTCTAACTCACTTGTTTAACATAGCCCTGACGTATTCTAAAATTACTCTTTTCAAAGCTTCTTTCATTAGATAGTCAAAGAACCTAAAATGGAACAAAAGAAAAAAACATCCAGAATATCGTAATTATAAATACCGCGGCAGGATTAGCTCAGTCGTTAGAGCGCTTGATTGCAGAGCGAGAGGTCGCGGGTACAATTCCCGGGACCGGACCATTACTCAGGGTCTTAAAATAACTGAGAAATGAAGGTATTCCCTTTGCACTGCAACAGGCTGGACTTTCGCGTGGCTCGGATGACCACGTAAAATGGCGGTGCCGTCTACAGTAGGAGAAAAAATACATTGCTAAATACATAGCCTGCGGTAACATCCGTTTCTCCTGGCTCTTCGCCGCTAGGGACGTTTCGCGCGGAGGAACTACTCCGTCGACCAATCAGCTCTTCTGAGCGGATTCCGGACAGATTTTACGTCATCAGTATGAAATTTCCGTCGCTGAGTCGCAGACGTTCCTCCGCGCGAAACGTCCCCAGCGCCGAAGAGCGAGGAGAAACGGACGTTTTCGCAGGCTACTAAATACATTGACAAATATCGCGCAAATACTGTATCTGAGATAAGGTTTAATGTGAAAGGACCGTTACTTTCGTTGATTGCAGGTAATGAAGTAAATATCGTTAAATCGATGATGGTAAATCAGGGTTCCACTGTAGTTCAAACTCACTCACCTGCCTTTCATGTGCAAAAAGTCATTATAATAGTCTTCTATTGTTACAACGATGGTATCAACAGCCTCGCTGCTTGGAACCCTAAAAAGGGAGAAAGGAGATGTCATTAAATCGCAACTGCCCGGAAACGTAAAAGAGCAAGCCTATCTAACTTTAGTTAGACCACAGCTTGAGTAAGGATCTCGTACATGGAACCCACACACTTTTGTTAAAAATGAATATAGCACCACTTCTGAAACTGTCACGAAAATTCTGAATGATTTGAAATGGCCAACAATCGAGAAAAAACGCTAAGGAAGGTGGTACGACTCACAATGATGTTTAAAGTAGCTTCTGGTCTATCAGCAATACAATTTCCACTATATTTATATTATTTAAAAGGCGACAGGGCACTAGGAAATTTCTACCCTAAGAAATTCATTCAAGTTGCTGCTAAAACAAACAAATACCAGCAGAGTTTTATTGGACGTACAATCAGAGACTGGAACTCCTTACCAAATAGTGTCATTGAAAAGCAGTTAGTAGACGCTTTCCGAAAGGCCATCATGTGCCATCTTTAAAAACGTTGACGCTTTTCTTTTTAACTTAAAACTCGCACCATAAATGATCGTATTTTCAATATAAGCCGAACCGGGCGCACGAGCGGCGAAGCGCGCGAGAACGGGCAGCGCAGCCGCGAGAAAAATTGCTCTCGCCCCAATCTCCTCGCTGTTTCTCTGCCCTCGCCCGCCTTTCTTACTTAGCAACCAAAACAGCCATACTACGCAGGCTACAGATCTAAAAGTTACGATAACGAACTTACCATTACACAATCCGCACAGTCAGGGCTCAAAATCAATTTGGGTTTGTTGCCGGTCGTGTTGGCCGGCCA